GGCCGGCACGGCGCGGCGGCGTACCCGCGCGCGACCGCCCCGTATAACAAATCCGTTTTACACGGCGGGGTGGGTGCGGTCGTGTTTACAGGACGAGTCCGGGCGAACTAACCGGGCCTGTGATTGGCCGGCGCGCACCTGCAATGCGTCAGGCAGCCGCGCGGACTGTGCCGTGTCGCGCCGGCTACCGGGTCAAAGCCGGGCTGCTGCTGCTTCCCTTTGCCTTGCCTTTTGCCTTGCCGTGCCGTGCCTTGCCTTGCCTGCGCCGCTCTCTGCGAGAGAGAAGAGCCCGCTCCACTCTCGAATCTTGACGGGGACGAACAACGGCCGTTTTTCGGCTGGGTGATACGCAACCGGTCTCCCTCTCGCCTCTCTATCTATCCATTTGCCTGCTGTTGCCGCTGCCTGCCTTCCCCCCCTTTCCGCTCGTTCCCCGCCGGTTTTCCCAACTCCCTTCTTTCACGATGCGCTTTCGCCTCCCCCGATCGACGGCTGTCGCAACAGCCCGCGCTCTTTCCTGAATTCCGCTACCGATCCCACCCTCTTTTTTCCCCCCTGTGTACCTGTCCCCCGAATCGACTGCTTTCTTTCCGTTTCTTCGTCCCTCGCGATCGCTCTTTTCGACGATTGTTTTTTTTTTTTTTTTTTCCGTGTTCCTCGCGATTCATTCAGATCGTCGCCGCTTCGTTATCGACCAATAACGATCGGCGTCTCGCTCTCTGACTCGCGTTCATTTCTTCCAATGTGGATTAACTTTAATCTCGGCTTAATTTACTCTTTATTGTGTATTATATAGTCTTAGAATTTTTTAAACTGGAAACGGATAAAAAGTAAGTTAAACTGAGATTAAAAACTTAATCTACAGGGTGGCGTAAACGTCATACCAGCAACTTAATTTTCTAACTCCGGTAATCAATTCATTTTGTGCTTATTTTATTAAAAAGACACGTCATTATGCACAGAATATTTAATTATCATTTTAACGAGCAAAAAATAGTTAAAAATATGCAATTTTTTACCAAAAAAAGATTTGAAAAAAAATTGTATGGTATAAGGATACACAGAAAGGCGTTTTCCTTTATATCACTTTTTTTTTTTTAATGTTATTTTGTAGGACTAAAAAATAAATCACTCTCTATAAACCAAATATATTTTGTACGTCACCTGTACAAAAATGAATATTGAGCTTATTCTACAATAAACGTAAATATAATTGCAAGTGATTGTAGGCTGTAAGAATTAACCAATCACAGTCGAATATCCTTTTCATATTCGGTTGTGATTGGTGAATTCTTATAGTTACGATCACTTCCGTTGCGACTACGCTTACGCGATTGTAGAACGTGCTTTACTCGCCTACCCTCTGCGTTCGTTTTCGTTGCAGAGCTCTTTGAATTGCGAAAATTGGCGACGAAAGCAACACGGTCGGCCTCGTGTGCGACACGAGAGATTTTTTGCTTAATGATTCTCCTTTAAATTTATTGCGTAATACACACCAATCCTGTCCTTTCGCCATCATGGCATCTTACCCTTATCGATTTATCTCCTTCTTTTCTATTTTTTCTTTTTTCTTTTTTTTTTTTTTTAATAAAATGAGGACCTTTTAGTGCAGAAAACCGCGCCATAGAAGAAACCTATCGTTCTCATGGACGACGACACAAATTGGATCTGCTCGAGGTGAGACGGTTAGAGAGAGAGAGAGAGAGAGGGGAAGCGAGGAAGAAGAGAGCGTATAATCTTTTCACATTTTTATCTCCTTTTCTCCATCTTTCCCTTTTCCCTTCTTCGAAGTATTGATTTTGATCAATTTCACTTGTTCTAGGTTCTCGAGTCGGCTCCCAAGTGCATAAGATTCCTACTTTCTCGAAGAATTTATAACAGGCGGGTGTAAAGCCTGAAAATTTATCGTACCCGGCCGTACCGTCGTCGTCATAATCGTTGTCGCCCTTGTCCTCCGGCATCCCTTTCCCACCCTCCTTTTGCCTTTCTCCTATTTTGCCTTTCCTTCCCCCGCCGCCTCTCTCGCTCTCTTTCTCTAACCTACCTCTTGCAGCGCGCTCGTTTCACTCCTTTCTCCCACCCCTCCGCCGCTCTCCGTCGCTTTGCCTATATACTATTTGCACTTTCCCGGTATGTGTGTCAGTGCGGCAATTTGACAGCGGTGTCAGATAACGTGTAATCGCGCGACGGATTGGAATGATTACATCCGGAGAATTTAGGAACAACAAATGGGCTGCTTATTGATAAAATATGACCCTGTATAGCTTAATTGTTTTCCGTACAGAGACATCCACGAAGATGAGGAAAGCTCTTCTCCCTCTCTCTCTCTCTCTCTCCTCTCTGTCTGTCTCTCGTCCTCACAGCGTGCTCCACTTCGTATTGCCCGCGTATAGATTATATATTCTCCAAAAGTTCTGCATTGCGTTCTCGTATATGTACGTGCGAGTATGTACGTGACGGGAAACGTGCTCTCGCCGATAAGGCATATTCGCATTGAGGAATCGACGAGATTATCGCCTTACCGTCGTTGATTAACCGTATTATCGGGTGCGCACGCCCAGTCGCAATAACGCGATCTCGCTCTCGGGCTCCCGCTTTTCGAGCGGCGAGAGAAAACGCAAAATATACACCGTGTGTGCCTCCCGAATTCGGCGTAGGGATTATTTTAGCGCGTCCGTGGTCAGCGACAAAAGAAATATCGCGTTGCGATCCGAGGCCAAACCGTATTTATACCCGATTTGCGAATTTGCGTTATCGACATTGCTGTCACTGTCAGAGATAGGCCGGTTTTGCGGTTCGCGTTTTTACCGAGTTTTTACGAGGTTTTACGAGTCGTATAAATACCTCGCGGAACTGTTGTGTATATATAAATATATATGTATATATTTTTTTCGTGCTTCGACTGTATATAAATTGTAATATTCGTACGAAATATTATTAGACCCCAGCGTCTATTTTCACTGAATATATACGGTCTTCGTTTATTTGTATATACGTGTTTTTCTTTATTTCGCTTATATTTATTTTATTCAAAAGTTTTTCCTGTCGCGCCGTATGTTTCAATTTCGTGTACTTGGCACTTTCAGCTCTGTTTAGCTGTATTGTAGCGTGCTGTTATAATCTATATAATACTATACGTATTCATGAGGTTCTTGCGCTTCAAGGGAAATTATCTCAGGACGCTTAATAAATAGCGATTCTCTCTCCCCCCCCTCTCTCTCTCTCTCTCTCCTTGTCTCTCTATTATTTCCCTTTATGTTATGCGGCTGAATTTTGGAACAGTCTACTAAATGACTCGCGAAATGGTGTGAAACCTCCGAGCTCATTTAAATTAATTTAAAACAAAGTATCAACTCGTAATTAACAGCCTTATTTTCTCTTCAATCTTTCTGAAATATATATATTTTCTATACACGAATATGTATGCGCAGCGCACTTTTTTTCTTTAACTAAATTATAACATTATCTTATCATACACGTATATTTCTTTTTTCTGTTAACTCATTGTAAAAATGTACTCTATATTCATCGTAATAACATTTGTATGATTGAGTTTTATGACTCTCGAGAGGATATCTTCCTAAGCGCGTAATAAATTGAGCTATCCATCTATCTCTCTCTCTCTCTCTTATTTTTATATTAGGTTTCTTGTATATTTCTCGTTTTGTATTACTTGTCTTGCATATTTTAGCTATTGGGTTATTTTTTTTTTACACACTTCTGCCATTGTATTATTTTCTTGCATATTTCTCTGCAGTTTTATTTTCTACGTGTATTTCCTTTTTCTTCTGTTATTTTCTTTTTTTTTTTTCTAATAATATGTCTTTTTACTGTGTTGTAGGTATATGTTTTCGCGCTTATTGTGATGTTAAGTGTCTTAGTGCTCGAGAGAACTTATTCTAGAACGCGTGATAAATAAAGCTATATATCTATCTATTCATCTCTCACCGCAACTAACAATACGTATTCCGGTGTCGTGTGTACCACCCCATTACGGCGCGAGTTCTTCCGACGAGGAGGACCTGAAATCTTTACGAAGGCGGTTATATATACGAAGGTGGTCTACGCAAGTAAGTAACGCAAGTTGTGCCGCGTGCTGCGGTGAATAATTCAACACGCCTCTTCACGAAGCCGGCCGGTTGCATTGCACGCGCGCGCGCGCGAGCGTTTCCAGCTAGAAATCGGTAATCGCGGATACTTAGGCAGCTGTGACGATGTAAAAAGAAAAAATGCGTCACGATCGCTGGAAGCCGCTCTCTGAGAAACTCGCTGATGCCGTTTGTCCGCGGAAAAGAAGAGACAGAAAGAGAAAGACAGAGAGAGAGAGAGAGAGAATTACGGGCGACAGGTGCGAGAACTCGAAGCGTGCGACGCGACGAAGTTTCAGTGTTGCGACGCCACGTTCAGGGCATACTTATTTCTATATTCAGGGTGACGCTATATTCAGGAAGGGAGATCGATCGCGGGACCGACACGACCGACACCTCCGAGTTCCGACGAGAACGGGAAATTGCCGTAATTTCCACGAGATTTTGATCTTCGACGTTTAAGTCCTATACGCCGACACGCTGCGATTCTCCCTATGGTGCCTGCGGATGAACCGACCCTCTGCGATATGGAGCGAGAGAGCATTTTTTTTCGCGCGCTCGTATAGCTTCGAGATTTCAGACGATCGTTGCGTCGATTTAGCTTTGCGTGTATCGGAAACACAAGCCTGAGATCCTCGCTCACTGTGTGTTTGCCGTTATCTGTATAAAATTATCCAGATGATTATCTAGATGAAAAAATACATTACACTTTATCTTATCTCTATAACTAGATTATTTCAATGTGTGTGTTATTACCATTTTGATTTTAGATAAAACAAGCGCTATCCTTTTCAAATTATTGTAACATTCCCCCAGTGTAGAATTTTGAATCTCGATCCTTTTTTTTTTAATATAATAAATTAGATACTCATGTTCTGTATTCATTTTGTTGGGTCATCAGTGCTATCCAGGATTTGTAATTGTAAGAGTTGAAAGTGGTTACGATATCTGACTGTACATAATATATCTTCTCTTTTAATAACGAAAATGCACCGAGTTTGTCGAAGGGTGTAAAGACCGACATACAACTCAAGGAACACACAAAAGTCAACGAGAAATCAAAATAACTTTGCTTTTCTTAACGTCAATAAGTGGTCAAATTTTGTAATAAAAAATCATCATTTTAACTTTTCGTGACATGCAGTCAAAATAGTCATCTTGATATTCTCTTGACACATATATATATATATATATATATATATATATATATATGTTCGTTATTCCAACAACGTAAATTAGTTTCAATCTCGGTTCATCTTACTCTTCTCCAAATTCTTATAGAATAATAAAACACGAAAAGTTTGAATTGACAGTGAGATTATAAAATTAAATAGCCCTGATAGAAACGGGCATCGAGTGTGTGCTCCTTGTGTATAAAAAAAAAACAATACAAAAGCAGCGCGAGATAATACGCGAATACAACGGAGGGAACCAACGGGCGGCGACCTGACGCCCTCTCGGGGGAGGGGGGGGGGGGGAGGAGGAGGAGGAGGCGGACGAGCGCTCGCCGAGAGGAATACCGAACTTCTTTTCTCGCAAAAGCGCGCGTATATCGATCGCTGGCGTGGCTCTGGCCAGGAACACGGCGACGCGACGGCCAGGAACACCTCGCTGTCCGCACTGCTCCGCTGCGTGTGTGTGTGTGTGTGTGTGTGTATCGTCCGATGAATTGTTAACCGCTCCGTCGTTGTGACCGTGACCGATATATTCCGGAGACGCGGCGCGGTTATACGCGCGCATCGGCGCGGCGTCGCGGCGGACGCGCCCGGCGCGCGTTGTCGATATAATAATAAGGCGGGTAATTAGAGCGACGGCGGGTGGCGTTTACGAAGAAAAATAATTATATCACGTGTGACGCGCCTTTTTATTTATTCTCTGCCGATTATTATTTCCGGGGTGATCGCCTGCGGTTCTCTGCGTCGTGTCCGCCATTTCCGTTATTTCGGAGCGAAAAGGGGAGCCACCGAGGTGGAAAAGAGTGGGAAGGGAAATAAAACGGTGAACTGTGGGGAAACCGGCCGACGCGACGCGACGCGACGCGACGCCGTGCCGCCGTGCCGCCCCACGTATGCATAATGCGCTAACGAGGGATGCGATATTGTATTACCCGCGGCTCGTACGTGGCAGCAAGGGTGTGTACGTATGTTAACACATAAACGCGGACGCTTCGCGGAAACGTTGCCGCGTCGCGTCGCGCCGCGCCGTGGCAAAAATCGATGCGGGGCGCCGAGAGCCGCGCTGCTGCGGTTCCGTCGCCGGCGCTCCGTCGAACGGAGCGTCGTCAAAGGCTAACGTCATTGACGTAGTTCTCTCGAAGGGGTCGGGCCCACCCGCCGGGCTCCCTCTTCCTCCCTCCCTCCCTCTCTCCCTCTCTCTCTCTCGCTCGAGCGAAGAGGAGCGGTTCTCGGAAAAGTCTCTCGCCGCCGCATATGACGACGACGCGGCACCACACGGCACGCCGCGTCGCGTCGCCGTGCGTCGAGCCTGCGCACGCTAGGACGCGCAATGCGACACGCGATAGAACGGGACGGCGAAACGGTACGACCGCGGTATAATCTCGTTACGGGACGAGGGGGTGGGGAGAGGGGGGGGGGAGAAGGGCGAGAGCGAGCGAGAGAACGGGGGCGTCGAGAGTCGGGGGCGCTCGGTACCGGGGTGAGTTTTCTGAAGGTAGGTAGGTGGTTGGGTAGGCAGGCAGGCAGGTGGAGGCAGGGAATTTAATAGGGAGAGCCGCAGTAAAGAATGTTAATTTTACCGTAATGGCATCGGTCTCTCGCACGGTCACGCTATCGCCCGTTAAAAATTGATATTCCTCGCGTCCTTGCGCGAAAGACGGCGAGGGATGAGGGGTGGCGCGGCGGATCGCCGACGGGGATAGAGAGGGAAAATGGAATTCCGTTTGTTGCGCAATATATCCCAATACCTAGGCGCGGTAAGGGTGAGAGAGAGAGAGAGAGAGAGAAAGGGAAGCGAGAGCGGTAATTTCTCTGATATTTGTTTGCGATTCACTCGGTGATAAAAGCCTCTTTCGCGTGGCGTCGAATATTCAAGCTTGACGGAACAGTGCCGTCAAAATTTCGAATTGTTTCAATCTCCGGTTAAAAGCGCCGTTCAATCGAGTGAGGTGGGACGTGGGAGGCTGCGTGTTTTGGACGTTTAATGTGAATAAAAGGGAAGAAAAGAGAGAGAGAGAGAGAGAGAGAAAGAGAGGGATGCACGATACACAGAGAGAAAGATACACAACGGCACACACATACGCATCTCTGTATGGCTGTGCGCGCTTTTATAGTATTCTTTATTTAAAGAATACTTATACAATGTGGGTTAGTATGAGGCAGGAAAATGGATATAGCTCGATATAGCTTTAAACGTATAAATGCGGAGGAGAGCTTGAATATAAAGCCGCGCGTCTCGCCGTATTCAGCTCGGAGCGACATGTAATATGCAACTCCATTACGTATTTAAATATTCGTCTTCCGCGCGTCCTGCGGTAATTTAAATTCGCGCCTCGATGACGTCGCTCTCTCTCTCTCTTTCTCCCAGATTCGACGCGCGTATCGCTCGCCTATCAAATGCAATTACGTGAGCCTATATGATAATTAACGCAAAATTCGCATCACGAATTATCATTAAAAAAAAAAAAAAAAAGACGCGGTTATAACTAACGCGGATCCTATACTGTTTTTATTACCCGACCGATCTCCCATTCGACTTTCCAGAAATAAGAAACTTGACGTCCACGAGTAAGACGTCGAGAGGAAAAAGAGATACGCTGGAAGACGTCGTTAATGTTCTTCTATAGGTTTTCGCTCATTTCGTTTAAGCGAAACTTTACTATACCAGCCGGAAAATTGCCGTACCTCTTAATGACTTCCCGGCTGATGTAATTTGAAATTAGAGAAGGAAACGCGAGCGGCAGTGTATGCCTCTGCATACGCGTCAATACGCGCCGACCCTCCCCAGCGAAGGCGATTCACAAGGCGTTTTCCCCAAGCTCCCTGCGCGAAACCAGGCCATGCATGTATAACATTATTATATCGATTACACAAAAGAAAATAGCTTATACCTCTTAACGATAACGCGACTGTCATTCGTGTGCGTTCTATATGCAATCGTTATTACGCGTCGCGCGTACAAAACGTATACGTGTTTGCTGCGACGCGATCGAAGGAGAGGAAGAGAAAGGGAAGATTCCTCTGCTCGTCTATCAGAGATAGAAGGAGAGAAGGAAAAAAAAAAAGAAGAAAGCGTAGAAAACGAAGATCGACCGTCGTACACCGCTCCGATAAAATCTCGTCCTTATCGATTTCTATAAAAATAAATTACTACATTTTTAGAGGCATTACATCAGACTTTTCCGATCCGAACCCGTCCGCCCATCCGTCCGTGAATCCCGCTTATACATACGTATATATATATATACACGTACGTACCTGTGGTACGATTTCACGTATACGTGCAATATGTGCTTGCGCATCGCGCGCAAATTGGGCCACCACGTATGCGCACTGCCGCGCGCATTGCCGTAAATGCGCGACATCGTATCGTCCGAAAATGCGACAATCTTATAGATAACGGGTTCTGAAATAACGATAAGGTACATAATAGCTCCGAATAACAGAACACCAATACGCATATTTGCAAGCGCGGGAAATTCTACGTTCTTTAGACGTTGACTCCTGCATGTTGCCCCCGAGTAGAGGTATGTGAATACGAAAGTGGCACTCGCTGCTGTGCACAAGTTCGTATCGGATAAGAGTATTTGAAATTTATCGTATCCACAATGCGGCGAGACATGCGACACCGCTCTGCGGTAGATATAGCTTTGAGTTAAAGTGGGATTACTTTACCGCGAAAAAGATCCTTCCACGAAATGGTCACGTTACGTTCCGCGAATTTGTCTGACGTTTTTGGAGGTAAGACTTTATTCGAATTTATTACATCGATTGTAACTCTATATTTTGTATAATTAAAGTATATATCTTCTTTTCTTTCTTTAACAATAAGTTTATACAATAGTACAACGTGTCCAGGTACTATTGACGGGAAGGCGAGGGAATGAATGCCCGCGGAAATTACGAACGCGCATATAGAGAAAAAGTAAATCGTGATTCGTCGAATCTTGTTCTCTTAGTTCACTCGAAGGTCACTGGTATCGACAGAATCGGCAAAATGGGATTTGTCGTTTCGACCTCCAACGCTGTTGCCATACAGTCACTGGCAGCCTCCACCTCGCCCAGTGATTCCAATACCATTCCTAAATTATACCTGAAATATAACATTCTTTGTGTACCCCGTCTATAATTGATAACATTAAATAATATCGTATAAATAAATAGATACATACATATATATATATATATATATGTGTTGTATATAATAAATTAATAATTTATATATAATTATATAAAGAAATAAATACTAATATCAGAAAGAACAAAACTGATAAGACACGCGCGCATCAAATCTATTCGTATCTTGATATTCGATTTATCGCGACGATTTTTAAGATAACTGATTACCCAATTACTAGAGTACAGATACGTTATCGTTGTGAAATCATTATAGATAATAAATGACCATTGGCTCGTGCCATAAAGATAGATCGTCAAGATAATCTTATGCTATGGTACCAATTGAGGCCATATAATACCAAGTTTGATGAGAATTTGGATCGATTTTTGCAGCGTCCCTCAAGGTTTTCTCAGCCAGTCTCTGACTACCCAAATAGTGATAAATAAGACCCTGCAAATAAAGTAGAAATAGCGTTAGATTTACTACTATCGCATACATTCATAAAATTATATAAAATATATATTTGAGAATTAGTATATGCAGCGCAACAATTATTACCAGGTGTTGTAAACTCTTTATGTGCGAGGGATTAATTGAAACAGCATTTTGATAGCATTGCTTTGCTTCCGTATACTCCAACTTGTATTCATGCAGAAGGCCACGCTATAAAAAGATAATTGTACTTAATTATACATTATTGTACAACAATCACTCAACGAATCATTTAATCTGAATCATCAAATACAGAGATAATGGTGAGGAGATTCGAATTGTACCGTGTACATAATGTGATGACTCAATGGGAAGATGTTGGTAGCCTCTTGGAGGGATAGAACAGCGCCATTTGGTTGATCCAGAATAAGGAAAACCTCGGTGAGCAGAAGCCAGATCTGCAATTGCAGCAGCCATGCTCTCTGCGGCCCTGGCTTCGGTGTGAACGAGCTAATTGACGAGGCAACCTCAGAAAGGGCTTGCTCGACTTTCGAAGCGGCTAATGATTGCGCATGCAGGGAACCTATAGGAAATTATCAGTCTTTTGTGAGATTAATCGATTTTTTGGAGATTCTTGTGGAGGGCCTATCGTGTTTTGCATTAAAATTAATAATTAAAGTTCTATTTAACAAAATGTTATTGGATATGTTATTGGAAAACGCAATGAGAAAATGAATTCAATCTGTTTATAAAATGAATATAATCCGTTTGTTATTTCTACTGTTATTATCCAACGTTATCTACATTACACATGTATGACGTATAACTCACTAGAATCTTTATCGGACATTTCCGATGTGTAAAGCTGAAAGACGCTTCTAGTCTCGCTGCGCTTCTCGCTCTGTTGCTCGTTGCAATTAACGTTCGTTTGATCCTCATAAAGACTCTTCCATAAATGTAACATGTGGCTGATGGTGTATAATGCATCGACACCGCCGATACTTCGCAATTCGAGATGCGCTTTTACATAGAGGAAATTCAAATTGTCCGGATATTCCTCTAGTACGCTGTTTATCACATGCAATGCTTCAGAATACTGCTTATGTGCCGACAGGAGTAATGCGAATAAATGCAATGATGGAATGTGTTCTGCTCGTAGATTCAGCGCAATTTTCACGTGCACGATGGCGTCGCTTATTTGTCTGTTTATTGCATATTCGTGAGCCAGGTAATACTCGGCCAGATGATCGTTAGGATCGCACTGTTGCGCTCTAGAATACGAGATCTTTTATTAATTAATTAAGAAAAAAAAATCTATGAGAATTGCATTTCTTAATCGTGTCGCGTTACGCGAGAAATACGTACTTTTGAAAGCAGTCCATCGCGGCGTTTGTGTGATTTACTTTGTCCTGCTTCACGATTGTGTTTGTAGAAAGCATGCTGTGGCCGATTCCGATGTACAAGTGGCATCTAGACTGCATCCCCTGTGAACTCGCCATTTCTCGCTGCAGAGCCTTTTGGCTCCATTCGATACCTTCATTTATCTGCTCAAAATCGTCAGGATGGGAATATGCTTTTTATTTTTAAATATAAATAAAGATATAGATGAGAAATATAGACGGGAGATATAAATGAGAAATGTAGTTTATTTACCATATTCAACTGCTCGTAACATAGTCTCGCCGCCAACAGACAGGGCATTACTTTCTGAGGCGATAGCCTGGCAACTACCTTTAAAACTCTATACGCGTGCATGTATCTCCCCATGCTTATTAAGCATAGTGCGTATTGCGTCCATATGTGTACTTCCTCGTGAGAGAACTTCATTGCTCTTTCGAAAGACTGAAATATTAAATATCGAATAATATATGAATTTATCATTAAAATAGCGGTAGACAATAAAATGACGATAGGATTTTTCAAAAAGAGAGGAAATCTCAACCTCATGTAAAAGTTCCACTTGACTCCATCTGACGACGACAACCGTGAGTAGGTCGTAGATAGCAGTGGCATTCTCAAACGCGTGTATCCTGGCTTCCTTGAATTCGGGCGATTGGCTGAGGACGGCGTCTCTTACCGCCATCGCCTCGCTGATCAACAACAGCAGAATCGATTCCTCGTACTCGTTCCTGGGGACGAACATATTTGGTCCCACGTACTTCTTTGGTTTCCACGGCGAATCCGACAGATTGGCGCCTGAGTAATGATTCACCCGTCTATTACTCACGGCTGCTGCAATATTAATACGAATAAATTTTCCTTCTTTAAAATATTACGCTATATTTATACAGATATATACTTATCATACCCATTGTGTCAATTTGTTCGTCTGGTGGTTTGTAATCAGTACCGCTTATGCCACGTAATAACACTTCCGCCAACTGTCTGGTCAGAGTTACCCGCAGACTCTGAGTAGTTGTAGATTCAACAGCAGATAAAATTTCCCTGTTAAAATTGAAATATTTGATAATAATTATATTCGTTACATTATAACGAATATATTTTTTAAAATTAATATGATGACAAGCATATGTATATATTTTTTTAATTAATAACCCGTAAGAAAGTTTCTTATTCAAGAACTGGAGTTATAATATTAATTAGCATATACCTATAACGATTAACAGCGGCTTGTATGTTGCCAGTTTGAATATACAATATTGGCGCTCTCTGTAGCGCAGTTTCCAAAATGGGGCCAATATATTTTGCAGAAACTGGAGTTGGTGTGGTGGTGGAGTATGTACCTACAAAAAAAAAAAAGAACCATTACAATTATTTAATGGTTAAAAGCTATAAATATTTTTATCGAATTAAATTTTGCCAATTACCTGTATTATTTGTATTTATAGTGGAAATACCATTTTGTTGTTGCATAGCAATTTTGTCTTGTTCCTGCAAATACACCAGCGTCAAGTCGCCAGAAATCTCGTAACACTTGATTATCTGTTCTTGCCATTCTGTAATCTTGTATTTCGACTTGGAGTGTGGTGGTAGCCTTTCCAGACAGAGACCTGACACGAGTAACAGTTTACAATATCAATATCAATTAGGGAATACTGACACGTTAATGACAATGCCAAGAAAAAAAATTAATTTAATATACAAAATAAAATTAAAATTTTCAATCTTAGTGGCCAAAAACGTGTGATGAAATACTTTACAAAATTTGTTATAGCTTCATTCTTCGTGAATAATAACGATCTTCATATTGTGCTTGCCCCAAACTCATCGCAACTAAATCTAGTTGTATTCGATAGAGACAAGTAGATGAAATTAAATATAAAAAAGCCAAAGCATAGAACTTTTGTTTATTTCACTTGAGAGATTCTTTGAAAATTCTACATATTAAAAAATACACAAATGAGATAACATGCTAGTATATGTTCTTAAATTTATAAAAGCATTTACAAGCAAGCTTCTATATTGTTATAAGTGGATATTATTATAAAGTGTGTAATATATATATATATATATTAAATGTGCAGTAATTAAATAAACTTCTAAATAGATACAAGCAAAACGAAGCAAACAAGCATACAAACCTTTGATCGCATATGATTCTGCTATAATGCGCAGTCTTCGGCAGGATAAATGTTTGTCAGTGTCTAAAGTAAACGATCTTTCTTTCTCTAAATCATACACAAGCCATAGTAATAAATGAATATACTGGATAACAAGAAATTTATGAATTAAATAAATGTGTCTAATCAATTCGTTACTAAAATTAGTGCATGGACACACTAACGGGAAGACAATATAAATGCAGTAGATTTGTCAAAGTATACAGTTTCAATTTATGCTATCTATTATGAAATGCCTATATTCAATGCAAATCTTGCACATAAAATGACGTATATGTATGTATATATCTAACCACATAACTATCAAACAAAAAACTACTGTTAAGAGAGAAAACACAGAAAACTATAAAGCAAGCTGTTATGTGTACCTTTTTAAATAATGCACTAAAATGTACTACTATCGTCAGAAGGAAGAAACCATAATAGTTGTCAATTGCAAACCTTTAATTGCATACGATTCTGCTATAATACGTAAACTTCGACAAGGTAATTGCTTTTCTGTAAGTGTGTCTAGTTCGGCTTGTTGATAGTGATGAATCGCATCCTCGTACATCCCCATCGCATAGTGAAGTTTCCCAAGTAGCAGATGAGCATCCAAAACGACTAACGCCTGAAATATCGTTATTAGAAGCAAACCAATCAGACACAATTGACTTTTATTTTCTATCAGATACACTATTCTTTCATGATATTACACCTACCTGTTTATCCTTTTCATTAGCAGCTAGTAACAAATATTTCCGCGTTTCTGTCAATCCATTTCGTGCCTTGACAATATTAGCGTCTATCGGTGGAGTTTGCTCCAAAAAACTCTCTAATCTTGCTTCTCCGCTTAAGAAATTCGCTAGACACTCTATCGAGCAAAATTAAGTCGCTATAGAATCCTGTCTGTATTTGTATACAAACTGCATATGCAAATATTTAATAAAATAGATGACTTATTGAATATTTGGTATCGCTTGAAAAAAAATATTCGACAACGATCAGCAATATTTCATTAATTTTCTTGCCGCATATCTAAAGGCTGTATTATTATATAAATATCATTTTTTTTCTCTCTCTGCGTGTCTGCTACGCGAAAAATTACAGGATTAAAAACGGCATGAATGATAATGCAAAACATCGCAGGAACAAAACATTGAGGATACATGTAACTCGATATATAATTAAACAGAAAGAGCGTGACATTTCGTTCACGCAGACTCTGCGGATATCCTTGATCTTTACATGACGTGACATCTTTTTTTCTCCTCTCTCTTCTGTCTCTCTTTCTCTCGTAGAAAATAGCGGGACGTTGTTTATGCTGCAAGCATATGCGTGGGAGAGACGGCCACGATCAGACCGGATCAGACCAGAATCAAATCAGATGGCGGAGCCGAGAGGAGCAGAGCGTGGCAGAGCTGCGGAGGGGCGGGATTGCTGGGGTACTGCACTTTTAGATGTTCCGCGAGTTGTATAACCTTCTTCCAGTTACCATCCTCGCGATTCCGATCGATCTCGGACTCTATGCGGAGGGTGTGACTCTTCTTGCTCGTCATCGCGAATCACGGACTTCGGGTCCGAGTCACCTGGCGGTCCAGATCTCAATCGGTGCCGGGCAGCAGCGGCAACGCGAACACGGCGATGTATCGATCATCAGCAGCACTTCCTCGCGCGGGATCAACGCGGCCAGTCATGGCAGCCCAGCGGCGACAAGGATCAATCCGCTCTGAACGCACAGCCGACAAACGCGCGATCACTCGCGAACACGTGCGCGTGACAAACTGTCATAAGTGTCACAAGACCCCGTTCCCCGCGGACTGAATTCGGAGCGGGTTTGCATGGCCGCGTGAAGTGCGACTCCGATCGACGACCAATCACGTACGTTTACGTCAGGTTCGACGCATGCATTTCTCCATTTAGATCTACGATTGGCTGCTTTATGGCGCTTCTTTCGAAAACAGTTTAACAAAGACTAATCCTTCCCCTTTTTTTTCTATCAATTTAAGATAATTTAATAGATACATTTCATCTTTTATTTTACCATACATTTCATTTTTAACAAATATTATATCTTTTATTTTTATTACAAATATTATATCGTTTATTTTATTTAAAAATTACAAATATATTATAAATATATAAAATATATAGGATATTACCTTTAAAATACAAATATAGTTTTATTCTTGGGCTAGTATATTAAATAATTTTTTGTAACGTTCTTTCCACTTTGCTCGTATGTCAGCTATATTATGCTATATGGAAAAATTAAAAATGTAGTAAGTAAAAATACATCATCTGCTTAAAAAAATGTAAGTAAAGTTAAATTGTACAATAAGTATTACGAACCTGTAATATGTGTACACCTCGTTGCGTGAGTACAATCAGTTCTTTTATTCCATCGTTTGTTATGTCCATGTAGCTTATAGAGTGCACAGGAGCGTCAAATAGTTTTCTGGTAGCTAATTCCCATGTATCGCCCGTTAATGCAAAGATCAGGACCTCCTGACCGTAAGTACCAAGCAAGATCTCGTTTTGACCATCCATATTTATGTCCGCTATACAACAGCACAGAATACAATCTGACGATTCGCTGCCGCTTAATATCACATCCTGTTTCATCCCATATTGCAAGATATCTCTGTTGAAAGACAAATACTGCAAATTATAATAAATAACGGTCTATATCGAGCTTAAATGGATTTAATATTGTCCTTAATAAGAATTAATTTATTAACAAATATTTGCACATTTTGATCATAAAAAAATCCTACTTAATAATTTCTAAAGTACTTACTTAAAGACAACAGCATTTGTACTTGAAATAACAATATTCAACTTTGGAACGTCATCCTTCGAGACAAATACTTCAGCTGAAATTTTTTGTAATTTTTATCTTAAATTGTGCTACATGCATAAGCGATACACCTAAAATATTTACAATTGGCATTTGCAAAGGGTGGTTTACTAATGGTATTGCTGTGTGGGAATACTATTACACTTGGTACAGGCCTGTCGTATCTCAGTAACCAGCTTCGAGAAACTTGCAGGTCAACCACGTTTACGATAGCAACTTTGACTAGACCGCACTCACAGCCAACGGCGGTGACTCTCCTGCATACATAAAATTGTACATTAAATCAAGATAAAAGAATGAAATACAGTTTCTTTTTAATTATACGAACCGTTTGTAATTGTCATAATAATAAATATTAATCCATAGAGCAATTGCTTGGATGTCATACAGCTCCGGGAAATATTTTTCAATAGAGGACTCGCTGTAAACATGACTTAGTTTATCTTCCCTTATCATATGGATCCTGTAATCGCTCCCAGATATTAGCCAAACTACCTGCAAATTTTGAGTTACGCTATAAAGTAACTCACAAGAGAACCTCTCGAGATATCAAATTCTGATTTTAATGAAACTTTGTAAACTTATAGCTTACATAAAGAGATAAATTTAGAAAATGATGGTGATCACCCCTTCAAACTGTTTTTTTTTTACCGCAACATATTTTCTAAATTCATCTCTTTATGTAAGCTATCTGATTTTCGCTGCCTTTCCTTTGAGACACAGTCGACATAAGTATCATTCTTTGTTATTCATTGAATGCAAGAAAAAGGATAAAGTTGATGTGTCAACTGTGTCTCCTAAAAGGAAAGCAGTCTTAATGCAGAAACAAAGAAAAGACTGTTAGTGACATAATTCATTGGCAGTTTAAACTGACTAATATTGCTAATGTACCTCCTGTACAGAATTTTGTTGTGGTAAAACGGTATGATACAAATGGTAAGGAGCATATGACAGTTCCACCATGAGACAATTCTGCGCTATGGCTTCGATCGAGCTACCTTCGTCTCCTTCGCCATCTACTGCACCCTCCGTGTATATATTCAAGTACCTTTCTATAGTGTCTGTGCTAGTCTTCATGATTGTTATACCTATCACAAAACTATCCCCAATGTCCGACTTATTATAAGCATCGATGGAAATAATCTCTGCACCACCTGAGACAAAAACAAATTAGTTCACAATGCTAATTAGATCAAAGAACTAATAAATAAAAGAAGATGCAGAATGAAATGTTATACCATTTAATTATCTAATTATCAGACTTTGGTAATAAAATCTGTGTTAATTCTATATTAATTTTGTAAAAAGTAAAATGTTTTATATGTAAACTAAAGATTATGACATTTCGTGCGCTATCTTATATTATCCTTTGAATATAATAGTTTACGTACTGGGAATATATGTGAATAGTAATTCCTTCACCATAGGCCTCAGAAATTCTGGTGTTTGATGGTACTCGCAGGAATATATTTTTCTTCTTAAGGATGCCACTAACAACTTGTTAGAATTATTGGGCGAGCATAGTTTAGTCATGGAGTAAATATTTCCCTGGGACACTAAGGGAAACCAGTGTGCATCTATGAGATTGCTCATCATCATCATCAGGAAGGCTACAGCTAAAGCAAGATAAAATGAAATGAATACAAAGGCTGATATTCATGGCTAGTTTTTATTTTAAGACTATCTTATATCTGTTTCTATCAATGTAATTTAGCTTTAATTCTAGTTTGACTAATTCTTCATCTTTTTCTGGTTCTCAAAATTAGAAGAAATGAAGGACAAATTAAACTAGAAGATTAAAGTTACTCTACATTGGTAGAAACTACAGTTAGGATTAGTTTCATAAATGTAAGATCAACATTAATCTTAGTTTAACTTAATGTTTATCTTTAGAATTAGGAAACGAGCAAGTTAATAAACATAAACCGAGATTATATAAAATTAATCTTACATTAGAGAGCGAATCCAGGTCTTAAGTACTTAATGTTTTACGATATTAATACAGTTGTGATTTTGTGACATTTTAAGACAGTTTTAAATACAAAAATCGACCAAAGTAATTTCTCAGACGGACAGACAGACATCTATAAAAAAAAAAAGAGAAAAAATAAACAAACCTCTATAGCAAACTTATGCTGAATCGAGGTTATATTTATTACAATCGACTATCACATATAGAGGAGCTCGCTTTCATCTCTAACGTCGATCTAACGTCAATCCCCGTGTCAATCCCTTGCAATTTCAATTTCCGTCGATCGCAATCTCATCGTCGATCCGAGAAATCTTGAATATATTTGCGCGCGCGAGCGCATCGCGCGATGCAGCTGGGAAAGTAGAAGAGATTAGAGAAAGAGATTGAGACAAGAGAAGAGTCATGCCTTCTTCTTATTCGGCAACGTAATTGCCGCTTGAGCGGGGTTTTCGCAATCGCTTTTGTAATAGCCTTGAAAGAGCCGTGGACTGCCGTGGACGATGACGCGATACGTGAAAGTGGGTGTGCCCGTCACAGCGACTCGCGAGTTATACAGTATACAGTAATAGTTGGTAGTAGTGCTTACAGTGCTCGCACAGCTCGGATCGGTTGTGTCTAGGCTGTCTCTGCGCATCGAGTACTGGAGTACACCGAGTTTTTTCATCGACAGGAGCTAGACACCGGTAAGGACAGCGGCAGAGTGTTCTCCAGTCCAGTTCTATATAACTCGGTATAACGTGTCCTCTTTTTATTCTATCTATATTGTTGCTCGGAGCTGACAACGCGATCGATGACGGGATCGCCGGGTATGCCAATTAAATACCCAAAGTACTTAATCTCAAGGAAATTCCGATTAGTTTTTAATCGATTGACGTCCGTTTTAGTCAATGTAGATCTAATCTTGCCTTGAAAGGTGAAAATAAAAATTGGAGCTAACAATAAGTCAAGTGTAATTCAAATGCAAAAAAAAAAAGCGTAAATACCTCTTTTACTTTTTACGATCGACTGCTGCCAACCGAAGATTGTTATTTGTTATGTCTCAATTTTCGTCGCCTTCTAAAAACTTTGATTTTGCTATTCTTATTTTTCCTTTACTTACTTCATTTTTTATTTTTATCAGAGACTTCCAACATTTTTTCTATTGTTTCAAGAGGATTAAAAAATGAGTTAAACAGCTAGAGATTAAAATTAATCTACACTGATAGTTTCTAACTGCAGTATACTTTGTATTAAATAACAAGAAATTATATACATATTTTAATAATATAATAATAGTACAAATAACTACAGAAACTTGAGCTCATTTTTACTAATGTAACTTTATTCTCGGTTTAAATTACTCTTTTATTTTTTTTTTTCTAATTCTTAGAAGCAGAAGAAGATACCATAAAAGGCAAAATAAGTTAAACCGAGATTAAAGATGAAGAAATATAGACATTGGTAAATTGAACAAGAGGATTTTCAATAAAAAAACACGTATGAGACACAACACAGTGAATAATTATATATCATCATTATATATTGTCAATGTCAAACAAAGACGAAATGATCATGCGTTATCATTATTACACTGATGTGAGTGCTTTCCATATGTGACACACAAAGTCGATACAAGTGCCCTTCTATTTTTGTTATTCACTGATTGCCAATCAGAAAAGATAAAATGATATTTTTGTGTCTCACTAAAATGAAAAACACCTTGCGTTTCGTACGTGCTGGAAAGCACTACTTAATGTTATAGAGTTTGGTTGAAACATAGACAAGTTGTCGACCGCCACCGGCTTCTGATCGTTATGTAGGACATATATTAGACTGTCGTTAGATTATATCACGAGTCGCGATCACGTTGACTCACGTGAAACGTCAAAAAACGATAGCTGCCTAGTCGATGACGCATCCGTTTATTTTTTGCTGACATGAGATCTGTTTCGCCAGGTATACAGCTACAGGTAGCTCCCCGCGAAATTTCCTGCTGATCGGGAGAAGAAGGAAGTCAAGATGTCGCACGGATATTATCCGTTCAAGGTATGTGAACCCCCAAAGAAATTGCCAAGTGGCGAGGTCATCGCCGGTCGGCTGCGATAATTAGCAGTATCGTTCTATATCCGGAACACCGATCCATTGGCGTTGATCATCCGTATTTTTAACATCAGCCTAGTTTTTAAAGCGATTCACGTTCCGCCGAAGTATGACTAATCGCACGCAAAAGTCAAACAGAATCTTCCTTATATCACTTCCTCAAATCACTAATTATAAGAATCTTGAGAAGAAGGAAAAATATAAATGCTCCTTTGGAAAAAAAAATATAAACGTATATCAGTCACTAGAAGTCGTTTATTCGTAATTTTTTTGAATATTTATATTTATTCTTTAAATGTGTAATATTCGAATTATATATTTATCATAATTTTAAAGCGCGATATTTCTTTTTATAAATACGATTCCTTTTGTAAATAATATATATTTTTATAAATTATTTATATAATTGTAAATATATATATATATAAAACATATTACCGAAGAAAAAAGATTAAATTAATATGAATTATAGATTTTGTTTTAAGCTTAGTCATGGAATACAAATTAACAATAATATTATATCAATATTAATATAATTTTCTGTTCAAAATATAATTATTTTGTACAACGTGTGTTATAATACAGTTATATTGTTAAATTAGAAATTATAATATTGATATATTACTATTAATTTGTTCTGTGAGAAGCAATTCCGCTTCTCACAGAACAAATTTGAAGTAATTAAAGTTTAATCAAAATTGTTCTAAATGTATAGATTTGTTCAATTCTCTGTAGGGGGGAGATTCTGCAAAACTTGATTGTTACAATACAATCTGACTTATTGTGTTTCAGTGCACTTCAACTGTGTATCCCGCTGATCCATTCGATCCAAACGCGGACGCTACAATCTTGCGTAAAGCGATGAAAGGATTTGGCACGGATGAAAAAGCGATCATCGACGTGCTTACAAAGAGAGGCATTGTACAGAGATTGGAGATTGCGGAGACTTTCAAGACTATGTACGGAAAGGATTTGATCAACGATCTGAAGAGCGAACTGACTGGGAAATTGGAGGATGTCATTGTTGCCCTTATGACCCCACTGCCACATTATTATGCCAAGGAGCTGCACGACGCGATCAGCGGGCTGGGTACTGATGAAGAAGCAATTGTTGAGATTCTGTGCACTCTCAGCAATTATGGTGTCCGTACGATTGCCACATTTTATGAAAATTGTAAGATTTTTATAAGCCGATTTATTATGTATTTTTATACAAATAATAATATTTTCTTGATTTAATTTAAAAATACATTATTCTCTGAATAGTGTATGGTAAAACGCTTGAGAACGATCTGAAGGATGATACGTCGGGTCATTTCAAGAGGTACTTGGTATCCATCGTACAGGGAAACAGAGACGAAAATCAAGAAATCGATCATGCTCAAGCAGTTGCTGATGCCCAAGCATTATATGAAGCTGGTATGTCACGAAATTAAAAAAAAAATTGATTCTATTAATTAAGAAAAATCACACAAAATTTTGTTACTGTAAATGTATTTCATGATGCACAATATTTTATTTTTAATCTTGATACAGGTGAAAAACAGTGGGGAACGGACGAATCTCAATTTAATGCGATCTTGATATCTCGCAGTTATCAGCAGCTGCGACAAACATTTGTCGAGTATGAGAAAATATCAGGGCATGACATAGAGGTTGCCATAAAGAAGGAATTTTCTGGCAGCATCGAGAAAGGCTTGCTTGGAATAGGTAAAGTTTTCAAATAAGATATAAACATACCAATTACATGTATTCAGACTGTCACGAGTATGCTAAATTAACATTCTTATTTATGAATCACTATAGTTACTAATTTCATTTTCATGTGATTATAGCCCTTATATTTCATATTACTTATAAACAGATACGCGTATTTCAGATTAATTGATATGACTGTGTGATCAAGATAAACTTGCTCGAGATATAATGTATTTCCCTTTTCGTTATACTTAGCCAAAAATTCTGCCTTTCAGTGTGAAAAATGAGTAAGTGGTTGAAATAGCAGTTCGATACAAGGAAATTATGAGTCCCTTGAATGCAACGGAGTTTCAATAATCCTCATAACATAATATGATATCACGAGTCGAAATTTTCATGAATACTTGACAACCCAAATTTACGTTCGGTTTCTGCGAACTTTTACTAAATGATCGAAAAATTTTTGCAGGGCAGAGGCAAGTTACCGCAGCAAGATTTTACATAGCTTTACCTATTTATAGAAATATTCATATGATTGCCGGATAATTCTTAGAGTTGGATACACTGTTGGACACATAGATCCCCGACAACTTTTAGTAGCATAAAATGTGTAGGCATACCCCTTCCCCCTCTAATTATTTAGTCTATTCTCCTTTATTTGTATAATAATCTAATTTTTAGTTCTTTATAATCCAGAATAATAGTAATATTTCTTTAATATAAAAGGAAAAAAATAACTTCCATTATTGTACAATAATTACTAAAGAGAAACATAATTTGAGTTGACACAAATGCATGTGAAAATGGTGTGAATACTGTGTGGTATTAAACCTTATATATATTATATCTCCCTAACAATGTTGCATGGCAATTATTACATGTAACATATAAACAAATATTTGTTATTGTAGATCTTATACAATATATATATATATATATAGTATGATCTGTAAAAGATTCGGATTGAGTATCATATAAACGTAGTATAACTGTAAAGCATGAAAAGAGAATGCTCCCAGTCAGTTTACTTATTTATCTATATATTTTTCACACTAATATTTAATTGATCTACACTCGTATTCTATATGTTACGAATTATCTTCATTTTTGATTGACAGTAAAATGCGTGAAGTCAAAAGTTGGATTTTTCGCTGAACGTTTATATGCCAGTATGCATGGCATAGGTACAAAGGACCGAACACTAATCCGTATCATTGTGTCTCGAAGTGAAATCGACTTGGGAGATATTAAAAAGGCATTCGAAGAACGCTACGGAAAGTCACTGGAAAGCTGGATAGCTGTATGTACTCCTTTACATAAAATTACGTACTTTGAAAAAATTCATTCTATTATTTAAATCATATTTTATAATGAATTACTAATGAATATATATATTATATATATTACAGGGAGATACATCGGGAGATTACAAGAAGGCTCTTCTTTCCCTCGTTTCCACATAATTTTGATAAAGTTATTAAAGATAAACACTTACCTGTTGATGTATAATCTATAAAAAATAACTTCATATACCTGCACAGAATCCAGCTTAATGTTGCTTACTATACTAATGAGAAATTTAAAAAAGTACCTTACTGCATTTTTAAATATCATTTTTGTAATACTTTTTTGAAATATTTACTGTATTATGTAGGCCAGTAAAATTTCTCGACGCTTTGTTTTTCAATTCCGTTTATATATATATATATATATATACACAATTATATTTAATTAAATTATATTTTGTATGTTATTTTTATGGAAAGATTTACATAAAGAATCTCATGGTATAAAAACATGAAAAGATTAAGAGATCAATGAAAATAAAATCAGAAGAACATTCTATATTATTTATTTATTTCCCTGCTGTTTTCATATAAACAAAAACCAATACACACACATACATGCATCTGTATGTGTAACTATAAATATACTTTTAGATCACAGTTTGTAAACTAAAATATTCCAACATTTTTACAAAACGCATGTATCCTTATCAAATTAGAAGAAAGTTCATTTATACCTTATTAATTCTGTACATACAATAAATTATAAATACATGCAATTAAATATCTCATCTATATATTAAAAAATAAAATAATATCAAGAAAACTCTGCATTTCTTTTTCACATTTGTTATATAATTATGCATATGGTAAAAAGACAAATGAAAAATAAGAGATGTGATTATTCTGCTCATGCAGTTAGAAAAATAATGAAAACTTAAAGGAAAGTTTACGAATATGGACATTAGTTTTAACATCAGTATTCAACAGTATTTTGTATATATATAAAATTAAAATTAAACTTTGTACATATATCAATTGCACACAAATACTTTTTGCTTTACTTTTATAATCTTTTTTCTTCTACGCGACTTTCCCATTATTTTACATTTAACCACACACATAGTATACATATAGAAAGAAAGTGTCATTGTTTTAAGTTAATTATTTTTAATTTAGACATGTTTAAATGTAAATGTAATAAAATGGAAGAGAAGCATAAAAGGGGAAAGAAATAATTAAATTGAATAAAAAATATAGAGGTTTTGTGTAAAAATAAACAGCCACTTTTTAAAAACAAGTCTTCAAAATTAAAAATTTTTAGAAAATTATGCTGCGTTTCTCCTTTACGTTGTATTCGTTTTTCTTAGCCGATCACTTCTCCGGGGAGGAACTAAAAACGAGAGAAGTCTAATTCAGTAAATATATTGCATATTTTACACATATGTTGTACAAAACTAGTACTGAAAATAGAATAGTACTTTTATTATTCGAGAGACAGAATAGACTTAAAGGTATAGAAATTATTCACGTTCAGAGAATTGTTGCATAGAAAAATTAAAAAAAAATTCTTTCATGTACTTGGAACTTCATACGTACGTTTATTTAAAAAAATGATACAAAAAATATGGACCAAATATACAACTGAAAGGAATTTTAGTAAGTAAATAGTTTGCAATTAATTGGTAAATTAATAGCAAATTGCAACAAAAATTGCAGTAGATTGACTTGAACACAGATTCTGTTTTATTTTTACCGTCAATATTGATATATACTTTCTATAAACTTGCAGTTCTATTTCATTTCAAATGTTATTTTTCTTTAAATAAATTTATTATTTTTTTACCATCCTTCTATCGATTGTATGGCACATTGTATATGACAAATTCTCGATTAAATCTGCAATTTTCTCTCGATAAAATTTGTCAAACACTTTACAAAATTTTTTCAATAGATTTGTCTAAATAATAATTCTCTTTTCAAACTTTTCGCTTGTTTTCTTTAAAGTTGTTTCAAATTTAATCTCATTAATTCGCTAATGTGTATGAATACGTTATTTATACACATTATTATATGCAAATTGTTTTATAAGTAATAAAAAATTTTGTCCTTATCTCTATTTAAAGAATACATAGAATTATTCTAATTTTAATAATACTCTTTCGTTCGGCTGTTTGTTAAAAGAAAAAAAAAGAGAATACCATCATTATGTAGTTCGTAAGTTATTTCCGTGTCTTGACACATCATTAAATGCCAATGTTTCGTAAATATTACAGTTTAATTTTTATTTAATTGTGAATCATAAAAAAAATAATGAAAATTTATATATAATGTTAGGATGTCAGAAACATCCCATGCGAGTGCAAATTAATAACAAAGAATATATAATTTCTAATCCTAATTAAATTTTATTTAAAATTTTTTATACAATTTTTCAGAATTTTTATATAAATTTATATTTTTTTGGAAAATTTTCCAGATTCTTTAGTGCGAATTAGAATACTTTATAAAAAGATGCTGATACAGCTTAGTCTCTTTTCCAAAATTTTTTATATATATAAATTTTGAAATATTCTAAGATTTCTTTATAAGATTTCTAAAAAATTTCTAAAATTTAAAGAAGTTGATAATTAGATTAATAAGAATAGGGCTACGAGTCAAGAAATTAAAAAAAATTTTTTAGAAATATATATAATATAATATTTAGAATATTTTTATAAAGACAATAAGTAAAATTAACCAAGTTTGGAAAATGTAAATTACAAGTAATTTTATAATTTTTTAATTAAATACACACAATAGTATCAATTTTATTTGTTTAAATTCTTGAGAAAATAATTATATATAAAAAATTATTGGAGTCCATTTTCGTGAATATTTACCGTTTCTCTTTCAATTATTATATTTCAATTTAAAGTATTAAAAGAATAATTAACCTTGACTATTAATAGCATTTTTTCTTGGACGTCCTCTAGACCTAATAGGTTTGAATTTTTGATGCATAATTGGATAAAACATCGCAGGCATTCTTTGAAAACATCTAAGCGCTGGTGTTGGCATCATATGGTCTATAGGTGGCCATGGTGTGTTAGGTATTGTTTGAAACTCGGTCTGACAAACCGTATGTAAATCAAAAACATTTTTCCTGAAAAATATTTCCGAACATATATTTCTTGAAATCTATATATTTTGATATATATGTATAAGCAGATTATCTATTGCAGATTATTGTTATCTCAATAATTTAAATTTAAAATATACACAATTACATACAACCATATATAACAAAATAATGTTAATTATAATAAAATATTATTAGCATTGTAGAACTTACTTAGCTTTCAAAATCAAAATATGGCATAAAATATCCGTCATTCGAATAACCGGTTTTGTGTATATTCTTTTAATAGTTTAAAGATACATTTATTTTATTTACCTAGGTTCGATTGTATGTTCATAAACATAAGCAAACGGTCCATTTTGTGGTACATGCCGCATAATATAGCGGCCAGGAGTCAAGGAAGATAATCCTTTGATTATATTGTACAAAATATTTAGAGAATCTTCTACTTTAATGTCATAAAGTCGTTTTATCTCATTGCTCAATGATGTTGTTGTATGTCTTTCTATTTGTATTATTTCTGAAGTATTAGTTTCTATCCTGACTATATATAGTGATAAAACAAAAATATATATAATCATGTAAGTAGTTCTATGTAAGAACAGAAGTGATGGTTTAATCGATAAGTCTCAAATATGATCCCAATTCTCATCCCTTACATATTTTGTGATTTATAAGAGGCTAATTAAAGAATTAAGTTAAGCATACAGATTATGTAGTATAAGGGTAGTATGAGATTGTGATCCATTTTGAGAACAGTGAACTAATACATATGGTACAAATACAAATAATATAATAATTATAATTATAAAATAATATACCCCTAGCTAATGATGTGTTTGGTCTAAATTTTAATGATGCCCATTGATGCAAGCTTTCTTCTAATGTTACAGCTTCAGCTCCTAATTCTAATTGATGCTCCATCTTTGGTGCTAATATTAAAGGCTGACATTTGTTGTTTGATAACATCTAGCAAAGACAGGTTTTATATTTCATAATTTAATACTGACTATTAATATAAGCATTAGAAATATTCTTACCTCAATGCCATCTGTTTTTGTACGAACCAATATTTGATAGACCTTCACTTCGTGTTTTATTCGTTCATGTTCTGGAAGATCCGTTTGTCCTATTTCGAAAAGATTATATGATACATTTGTTTTCTTATTTATTTTATCAGTTTTGTCACTTGCTAGATTATCTGATTTTTTCGATTTATTTGATCCACATAAATCTTCTTCAAAGATTTTAAGATAGTAATCAAATAAATCATTATCGTTACTATTTGAGTCTGAATTTGCAGCCTTCTCGAGTTTGTCTTCTTTCGTATATTTTATCCTAAAATATTTATTATAATATATACACATAACAAATTCAATTTTTATATAATTTATTAATACATTTTTACGCTTTATGCGTTGTACTCACTTTTCTGATTTACTTGTAACAAAAAAGTGTCTAAGGATATACTTATATACCCAAGTATTTTTTTGTGGTATAGTGGCAATAGTAGGTGGTAATCTTTTATCGATGTAAACAATATTCTTTCCACAATGCGATTTTACAACCACTGGTACAAGCCATGAATCTGAATGATCCGAATCTATGTTGCTTAGTAGACACTTGAGGCCACTAGATGAGATAACAATATCTGCTCCAGCTTCAATTGCAAGACTTTCGCAATATGTATCCTCGCTCACGGGTAATCTGAAATGTTGCATCACTTTGTCAGGTTCGACGCATGGAGGATATTGTGCTAGCAATGATTCAGAATTTATGAATAACATATGTTGATGATCGAGTTTCGGCAATACCACCTTTGAAAATGATCCCTGAAAATAATAAAATAATATTACATATTTAAATTAAATACATCAGATAAATATCGATTGATAACTTACCTGTTGTAAACAAGACAAAATTGTTACTTTAATATCTTCATTTTTTAAATTAGTCCTTTGTACAGAAAGTGGTATATTTATAGATTCAATATAATATCTTGGTAACTTTTTAAATCTCTGCATTTTTATGTTCCATTTTGATACTACAAATTTATTACATTTAATATTCCACGCAAAAGCATCATTCCATTTACTCTTTACAAAATCTAGAAATTCCTTCTGTTCTTTAGATATTATCTCTTGCAATGCCTGGAAAAAAGGTTAATTTTAATTTTAATAATAAATAAAAAATTTATTAAATCTCATAAATATAAGTAAATTTAAATTGTTTTCCTTGTATTTTTTTAGTTTGCTTAGTCTTACAAAATAAAGAATATTGAACTGAATATTAAAAAATATATAAATTTAAAATGCTCAATAATGTCTATTCACCATGTATTGTTCAAACTCTTTTCTCTCTTCATCGGACATGCTCTTTTTTTCATTGTCAGACAATTTTAATAAAACACGAAGGCACATAGCGTGCTGAGCCCTGTCTAAACAAGACTTTCTAGGAAAGCAAAGCGATAATTTTCTTATGCCAGGTACATAAGATCTCTCTTGTTCTTGCATACAAGAGTTATCATCAATCTTTGTTTCTTGCTGATTAATTTTTAGCTGTTTATCATCTTCCAAATTGGTCAAATCCTCGCCATCCTCACAGAGATATTTTTTAATCATTTCTATATCAATATCAGCATATTCGTCATTAATACCTTCAAGTGGATCTGTGAAGTTACCAGCCAAAATTTTATACATTGCGCTCTCACGCTCCATTCTCTCATCCCTAATAAATACATTGTCTATCAAATCGTCCAATGCAGGATGCCTACAATAATGTAACAATATCACAATCAAGTATAACATATAGTAAGATTTACATTATACAAATAAAATAAATTACAACCTTTATTATATATAATGGATCATTTATGCTCCGAGTTAATTTACAAGTGATTCTTACATCACTTTAATATTTTAAGAAAATATTTATAAAATTATATATTTAAAAAAAAGTAACAATAAAGACCATTATTTATTATATACTCAAGTGCTCTTAGTATTTCAAAGAAAAGAAATGTATAGGACATAAATGATCTAATCATGTATACTAAAGATTAAATATAAATAGAGCTTGCTGCACAATAGTGGATTAATTAATATATTTTATAAAACTGAGTAAATATGATCCTTCAAATAAAAAAAAATGGGAGAATACCAATATACCACATCACTTCAGAATTCATTTACAAAATATAGATTAGCCCACTGTTGCAGTAAACTCTTTAAATGTAAAAAAAATTTTATTATAAATCTTTTTGCAAATTATAAAATGTAAAATCTATCGCGTCGAACAATTTAAATATTATATATCACAGATCATTCAATAATCACGAAAAAGAATTGTACTTAAATCATATAAATCGTATACAAACAGAAATTACAAAATCTACTTCTAATTTTGACTTATATATCTAAATTTATGCTTCGAATTTAGAATTAAAACTATTTTATGAAATCGCTTACATACCAGTCGAGGTTTCGAAATCTCTCCATGTTCAAACAATACTGCTTTTACAGTAATAAACATAAATTGAACAATCTTTAACTTTCGGTGTGAGAACTGGAGAGGATCAAGAAGACTGAAGTTTTAGCAGATAGGTTTTTCGTACGTATACTCTTTTTACTGTTCTTCGGTGTAGGAAATATAGTAATTTATTTTTACATGTCTTTTACTTTTTTTTGGAGTCTTCGGACACTTTCTTTCCTCTCTTTCTTTTCAACACGTGTTGTGTATCCATCCATTTTATTTCAAGAGTAGAAATGTGAGGAACAAAATGCTTATAAAAAGTGCACCTGCACTTACACCACTTGCACTTATCTGTCAGCTGACTAAATAATAATATATTTATTCTGAAATATCTCAGGTTATTTTGTTGAATAGCTGAATTATATGAACTGTTTTCCTTGAAAATTGATGGTTTAAAATTACCGGAAGTTATCTCTTGTTTCACAAGATCGGTGGAGTTACGTCAAAAAGTGGCTGAAAGAACCGTTTCAGCAGAATGAATTTCGGAAGGATGGCTAATATTAATATTTTTTGTAAAATTCGACAGCTTGGTAAGTCTCGCACAAGTTTTTGATAATTTCCAGTATTATGCTTGCTTCGTTTTGCGAGCTGAGTAGAATTTGCCGTTCCTAACCTCAAAGTACGTTTACATAATCTTTCAATCAGAAAATATATCATGCAGTAAGTTTCTTTGAGAGTGTCTAAAAATAAAGTTTTTTTTAATTATTTAATATTTTTATTTATTTTATATTAATACATTTTATATTATTATTTTATTAGTTTTTGAATAAATGTGGAAATTATAGAAACCAACGATACTGTTACAGAAACATTGGTCAAGCCTGGTGGTTTACTTGTGCAAAACTGTAATCCAACGCAGTTTTCTAAATCCACATCGAGTCTCGCAAATCTGAACCGTTCTGTGATTCCTAATGCAAATAATTATCCAAAATGCAATATTCTGTCCAAGGTTAATAGTTCTAGGACTTTTACTCTAACTTTATTTCTATTATCTATTCTTATTTTTTAAAATAGAAGAAAATAGGAATAGGTGTGTATGTTACAAAATATATTTTATTCTGTCAAATTTTTTTTCAGCTGTCTGTACAATCAAAAGTCAGTATTACCCAAACTCGTGCGGCAAGCGCTCAAGGCGATCATGTGCGCTTGTGGGTGATAGAGAGAATAGTATCTGCATCCTTTCTGTCGCTAATACCTGCTGCCTTAGTTTTAGAAAATAAATATATTGATATACTACTGGCAGGTGCTATTGTCATGCACACACATTGGTAATTGATATTCTTGGATAATCAACATATTTTCTTTTCTAGTTTCTTTTTTATAAATCTCTGTTATATAGAAATATGTTTAAAAGATTAATTTTATTACACAGGGGATTGGAAGCTATCATTCTTGATTACGCACGACCCATCGTGGTGGGTACATTGGTTCCAAAACTGGCGTTTCTTATGCTGAATCTTCTCTCCGTCGCTACTCTTGCTGGTCTGTTTGTGCTGATTTATAATGGCCCTGGCCTTACAAAAACTATTAAAAATGGTTGGGCAATAGGTAAAGACAGATAGAAATCTAATTAATATTACTACACACAGCAGAAATAATTTCATTACGTATATAAATAACTTTTTAAGATAGTAGCTCATAAATTATTCCAGAATAAATTATTTACTAATGTAACAACTCGCTTTCTTTCTTATACTACCTAACTTGTATGTGATTTCCAAGTTAAATGACAGTGAGTGGAATGTAAAAGATTGTTATTTATAGTATGTATACATTGTGAGTCGAAAACAGATATAATTAATACTTATACTACAAATCAATAACAAAGAATATTTTTTTCATTATCATACATCTCAGTACATTATGTCAATACATTTATAATAAATGTACAATAGAGCAGATCAACAGGTGAATCAAATGAGACTTAATTGCCGCCAGTAGGGGCAGCAACCTTGTCTATGAAGGTCGCCAGTTTTACATCCCTCTGCGACAATCCATTCACATCGTGAGATGACAAAGTAATATTTACTTTATTGTAAACATTGAACCATTCAGGATGGTGGTCCATTTTTTCAGCCTGTAAAGCTACTCTTGTCATAAATCCAAAGGCCTAAAAATTGAAATGTAATGCCGTATAATTGGACAACAAGGTCTTAATAGAGTTGTAAATAGCAATATTCATGCAACATACTTCATTGAAGTTTTTAAACACAAATTCCTTGTAAATTGCATCCCTGTTTGCTTGGACAGTCCATCCCGTTGATAGCAACGGGTTCAAGTTCTGCTCTCTTTCTTCCGGAGACAGCTTACTCTGATAAGAATCAATAAATTTCCATAAATTATAATTTATTTTTTTGTATAATTATAATCAAACATAATTTGATCAATATCTTTGTTCATTATTTGCAACATATTGTAGTGTCTTATATAATCTTTATCAATGTTTTAATTAATATCGCTCAACAGAATATATGCAAATGTGACAAGATTTGTGTAACAAGTGGCTAGCCATCATCATTTTCACCACAAAGGACTCGCCCAACAGGTGAATTTGTATGCTTAATTATTTCATTGAAATTCTTTTTGATCTGAACAATCTGTGAAATTGTCGACAAATTCAAGGACTTACCATCTTGGTTTTTCTCGAGACAGCCGCAGATAAATCTCTGCGATCCAGAATGCGCGTTATACACTTTCGAATGTGATCCCCTCCATTCGCTCGCCTGGTCAATACGGCTATCATGTTATGTCGAAAAGTCGTTCTCTATGTATAGCTTTAAGATACTGAATTTCTTGTCGTATCACGATATCGCAATCGTGCAATGAACGTGATACTTAAACGGCTTTTTTCGGTGGAAGTTAAAACAGACGAATTAATTTCTAATGTAACATAACCTCTTGTTTCGTTTAACATTCGAGGTCCTACTATATCAAACTCTATATGACTCTATATTAGGATCATCAAGAACGAATATTGATACATGCTTGATAAAAATAAATGCTTATATAGATAATTTTGAAAAATAAAGAAATCATTTCTAGAATATTATTATTCTTTGAATAAGGCATTTTTATAAATACATATGTAAAGTAAAAATATTTACTTTACAATTTTATAAATTTATTTTACAAAGATAAAAATTAAAATATTTTGTTTATTTATTGTAATTTTTTTTGACAGAAGTGTTTATATAAATATATATATAAATATATATGTTTAAAAGTATCTTTAAATATTATCTTTGTACATAACAAGTATCTTTGTGTACTAGAGTAAAACGTAATTTATATGTTTAGATATATGTATATGGACATAACCAGGATCTCGTTTATAAGTGGCAAATTAGAGTTGACATTTCTGAGTTTGGGAGAGGAGGGAGTAGTCAAATGATATAAAATTATGGAATCCGAATATTATACTTGTTTTTTGTTTTATATTATTATTAAAATTATACATATAATAAAAAAACATACATTTTATTTATCAATTTATTTTATTTTTTTTTAAATTGTAGATTGATTCTTCAAATTGGAAAAACTTATAATACTCTCTCTCTCTCTCTCTTTCTCTCTAGGAGTCATAGATTTTCAGAAAATTTTCCTTTAATTTTTACCTTAAATTCTTAATTTTTTTTTTCAAAATCAATTTCTTGTGCCATCGCTTTCCTACTGTTCCCTTAGTTACACATATGTTTGAAATATGTAAAATATAATTTAAAATATATGTTATAATTTATATATCTTTTTATATGTATAAAGATCAAAGAGAATTTATATCAGCATGAGATAAAGATATATTATTTTAGATGTTTTATGAGACACACATCAACATAATTTTATAACTGTACAAAACAAACATATTATATAAAACTATCTTTTTTTTTTTAGTTTTTCAGAAAAATATCTCAAAAGATTCAGAAGAGGTTCGGGAAATGTCAAAAAAATAAATTTATACTGTCACACATATTAAAACTGCTTATAATTTAACAAAGTCACTGATTGAATTTTATTGATTTTTTTCCTTTTTTAACATAAGATGCTGGTGGTGGCAATGGAACTTTAAGCACAACGATTTTCTTATCGTCTTTAGAGGACACCGCTCCGATAATTTTCGTGAGATCCATTAGCTTTTTTAGACTTGTTCGCGTTTCAAGCATAACTCGGAATAGTTCCAAATCCAGCGTAAAATTTGATAGTGTCAGTGCAAGAATCAAGCTGTGTATGAGGCCTTTGTCCTTCATAAAGTTTGGCCTCGTCCTGTAAAAAAGATTTTGTTGAAGTTTTGTTCGTGATTGATGCAATTGACGTTCACTCACCGGCCATTTGGACTGGTCACACTGTATGTGTCGATAATATGCTGATTCACCTCCTCAGAAATTGAGCACACATTAACGTCACGTTTCTTCGCAATCTTCATTGGCATAGCAAACCATGCATTGATCATTTCCATATAAAGCAAAAGAGCGACTTTGTTCACATTGTCTGGATCCGATTGTATAGATTTTAAAATCCTTTTGAAAAATGTTCCCTTTCTATATAATCAGAGAAACATACATACAATTTTTTTTATAATTAAGATGCATAAAATTTTAACATTTGTAAAAAAAAAAGGATGTTAAGTACCCTTCCATGTCTCCTTTGAGGACCTCCATTGCATGCTCATATAACGTTTCCAATTTACTCTTAGGAATAATATCATATACATTGTATACATCTTTGACATTACTCACATTCCTATTACATGCAGGTAGTACTGCATTTAAGCAGTCATCAGGTGATAATTGAGTTGATAAATCTACCCTGTCAATTTCAATACCTGCCAAAAAACATTATTTAATGAGTTTTTACATGTAATAAATACTGACATACTATCATTAATATTTAGTAAATCTATTTAAATCATAGTAATTATTATTATTTGAGAAATAATTTAAAGAAAAAAAAGAACTCTCTTACTTGACACTGCTTTCTCAAGATCTTCCTTAACACTCTCAACATTCACTTGTAGCTTCTCATATTGCTCTGTTCTACGTTTGACTTTTTTAGATCCAAATTGTTTGTTCAGTATCATAATTTTATCTATGTCACTGTTGTTGTCTTCATCCTCAGATTTGTCAAGTACTGGTGTTACTTCCCATCGTTCCATTTCAAATAACCTTGCTTTGCCAGTCCTCTTATTATGGAGTACTAGCAGTGTCCGGATAGATTCTTTCTTACAATCTGGCCTGTAACCTTTATAAACAATGTGTCCATTTGACAAGGCCAATACAGTTTTATTGTTCTTTTGCTCTCGATATAAGCCACATGATATCTCCTTAGCTTCCTCATCCTTAAGCTCACCATTTTGGAAATTCACTATACAATAGATTTATGAATTAAGATTTATTTATTAAATTAATAAAAAAATAAAAACAATTAAGTATAATAAACAATTAGGATAATACATAATAGTTGAATGTACTTTTATGTAAAGGATATGTATAAAATATAATATTAATACACAATTTTTAAATGTATAAATAAGATATATATTTAAATATGAATAGTGTTACAATATAGTTTAATATATAACAGCGTGAGAAACTGTTTATCTTACCAATAATTGGCTGAATTTTATTTGATTGCACAATTACATCTTCGACAACCGCTTTGAGTAGTTTCATTTTTCTCTAGCCGCTCGTTGTTTTTCGTGTGTCATGAAGGTTAGGATCACAACGTGAGAAAACTGCAACGCGTTTAATTTAATGCGCAATTTTCTAACCCGGATCCTTATACACAGCACTTTGACACCAAGCGCTGATTGGTGAAAAAAGGATAATGCCTGGTTTATGCTTCGGTCTTAAGGACTTAATCCTAAAATTCAGCCAATAGAATTCAAATTTCGGTTAGAACTGGTAGCTTTATTGGTTGAATTTTAAGATCTTGGGATTAAGACCTGAAGCATAAACCAGGCATAACTGATTTTTCATAAATTAATCTGTCCGTATGAAGATCCGGGCAATTGGTCGTGTATTCGTGATATGCAAATCAGCTCTTTTAAAACACTCATGGCAATTATAAAAAATTAATTATTTAAAACCATGAAATAAGAAGTTATAATTTAAAATGTAAAGTAAAAAGTAAAATGTGTGAAATTTTATGCAAAAGAAATAGCAAATGGCAAATTTTATTACCTGTGCCACGTTGCTACATGTATTTTGCCATATGTATTTTCGAATAAAATGTTATTTATTTCAGTCAATAGTTTTTTTACCCATTGTTAGAACGATTTTAACTAAATTTAAATTAACTTTATCAGAAATTAATTCAATCGATAGAATTGTTTAAAGCAAAATTTCTAACTATATAATTTATTCCCTATAATTTAATCTTTTTTTAATTATATCTTAAAAAAAATAATTCTATCAAATATTATATTAATAAATCAAATAAGAAGCGCCAAATATGATCGCAGCTAGTATCATATTTTTATGTAAATTTTTTTATTTTCTATTAATATATATTAACTTTAATCTTGGTTTAACTTAATTTTTATCTTTTTTTGGTTCTAAAGATTAGAAAAAGATGGAAATTAAAATAAATTAAAATTGAAGTAAATCTACTGTGGCAAAAATGGATATAAGATCTGGTTCCTCGAATGTATTGTAGATTAATTTTAATTTCGATTTACCTTACTGTTTTTTTTTCTAATTTGTAAAGATTAAAGTTAATCTTACATTGGTGGAATCGTGCATAATATAGATATTATTCAATAAATAATCTACAATTATCTTATTTTGAATTCAATTAAGTTAATCAGAATTTGACAGTTATCATTGATTTCCGAATTTGAATAAAATCATCATTACACTCAATTAGTATTTTTATGCTTGCTATCATCTATCAAAACTTTATTTGAAAATAAAAATGTTACTTTATATTCAAACGGCTTTATAATAGCTAGTAAAACGTAAGAAATTATTCTATATGAATATCTGATTATAATAATTAATAACAATTCCTAATATATAATCATTCAAGTTTAGAAATTAATGCAGGAAAAATTTAATATTTTATTATATATACATTGTACTACATATTTATAATATATTTATATCAATATCGTCTTAAATATTCTTGAATATATACAGTTTTCTTAATATGTCATTTTATTGTGTAATTATAACATCATGAATAATACACGCAATTTTAATTTCTATTATTATGTCTATAACATTTACTTACTCTTTTCATATAAATATAAAGACAATATTACATATAAGAAAATCAAGAAAATATTAGATACATATATTAAAAAATCAAGAAAAAATAATTTTTTTTTTACAATATTTTAATAGGACTAGGAAAGTGTAAGATAACACTTCCTGTGTTAATTATTAGTTTTTGTAACATTAAATTATCACTCTATCTCCTCTATTGCAAATAAAACTTTATATGTAAAGAAAATATCAAAATATAAGAATATAAAACAGAAATGTGTAATTGAATATTATTTTATCGCAAAGTTTTAAACATAAATTAAAAAAAATAACTGTTTGTTAATTTGTAATTTTGAACTTTTTCAGATCTTTTAGAATTTTTATTTTTTGTTATTCAATCACCAAGTCATATTCTTCGATTTCCTGGAATGTAGAGTTAATAGTTTTTATCCAATTGTTAATTTTTTTCTCGCGCTCTTTTTCTAATTTTGTAAGTTTCTTTTTCTTTTGTTGCAATTTGTCATTTTCTTTTTCCTCCTCATTACTATCACCTTCTGAAACATCGAACTTCACGATACGTTTTCTCCTGTATGAATATCGGGGTGGCTGTAACATTTTAAAAAAGAATGTAATTAATAATTTAAAATATATTATATAAATGTAAAAACAAAAAGAGAATAAATAATAAAAGAACAAAATATCAATCAGATCTGCAATGTTTGTTGCAAAAGTCATATATGTATTTAAAATATTACTCGTTAACAATATAAAAACATGAATATTTGAAAATAACTAAATCACGACTGAAACATTTATCTTTTTATATTAACGAGTAATCTTTTTGGCGGTTTATGCTTTTTTTATTTTTGTTTTGCTCTTTTTATTTATCGTTTACTAAATACTTTTTTTAGACCGTACAATTGATAAACAATAAACTAACAAGAAGAAGGAAACCGATAACAGTCAAAGCCAATAACGGTCGGAGCTGAATCACAAATGCTTATTAAAATTATGTGTGAATTTTATATACTGCGTATGTAGTCCCCCTAATTGCGTGCCGAAATTTTTTCAGACTTACAACGCGACACTAAACAACTACCGCAGTAATATCACTTTAGTTAAATTGACAAACAATCTAACAATTTTTGATGCTTATAGCATCTTATTGGATCTTAATAATATGTTGAAAGACATATATTAAAATTTAACGATGTAATATTAAATTAATGGTAAATCAAATTCTGTGAAAAATAAGATTGCGAAGAGTATATGTTAAAATTACGTCAGCCTGAAAAAAGACGTTATTACTACTTTAGATAAATATTGCGAAGAATATTACTACGTTGACCCGCCATCAGAGATCTATCGATATTCGCAAAATTTCTTGCAAGTGCTGAGATACGCGTATATCTGTATATATAGAATCTCGATTTAATAACTTAAACAGTATAAGGTAGGCTTCCACTACAATGCCTTACTGATGAGTCCAATAGTGGAAGCCGGAACGAAACGCCAACTTGTGATATTCTTCGCAATCTTATTTTCACAGATTTTGATTTATCATTACTTTAACATCACATCGTTAAATTTTAATATGTCTTTCAACATATTATTAAGATCCAATAAGATGCTATAAGAATAAAAAATTGTTAGATTGTTTGTCAATTTAATTAAAGTGATATTACTGCGGTAGTTGTTTAGTGTCGCGTTGTAAGACTGAAAAAATTTCGGCACGCGATTAGGGGGACTACATTACGCAGTATATAAAATTTACACATAATTTTAATAAGCATTTGTGATCATTAGCAGCTTCGACCGTTATTGGTTTCCTTCTTCTTATCGTTTACTATTAGTAAGTCATATTTTCACTACTTATTTTCAAAAAAATGTCAACAGTAAATACCTTCGAAAAATGTGAGGGTTCTAAATCCATAAATAAAGGAACGTCATTTTCAACATTTGATATTTTCTCGCTTTCAGACAACATATCAAATGTGTCGGAAAAATTAGCAACATCTACAAGTTTTTTCTTTTGCTCTATGAGCGACTTATTAACTTCAGTATGTGTCGGCTCGATTGTTTGTTTGTTATCTTCATTAACAACATCATTCGGTCTCAGTAAAACATTCTTTATTTCCCCCAGGGATATTCTAATAGGTGTTGGTTGTACAAAAAACTTGCATGCAACTTCGAACGGCAGTTTCTGTGTAGTCTGATTCTCTGAAATTGGAGGTTTCTTTTGGATTGCATGCTTTTTGCGAGGACTGGCAATTCTCTTTCTTTTTCCTGTGATTTTTTGACCTATGTTTTCCTTATTCATATCTATATTTTCTTTATCTATTTCTATGTTCTCTTTATTCAGTTCCATATTCTCCTTATACAGTTCAATGTTTTCCTTATTTGGTCCCATGACCTTATTTGTTTCTATGCTCTTTTTCTTTATTTTTTTATTTTCTTTCTTTGTTTCAAAATTCTTATATGGTGTACTTTGAATAAAATGTTTGGTTTTAGAGAATGTTAATATTGGAGGTCGCCAGGGACTTCCACAATCAAAGGTGTTTGACGTCTTCAAGATGGGGGACAAAGTTTTAATCAACATGGAAGATCTTAACGTGCTGTTGTGTTCCTTGGATAAGGTTTTATTATCAAATATATTTTTTGGCCGAAAGGGCTGTGTATCTTCAGTTTTCTTAGGTGGGGATGTAGTGACTATGATATTATTTGCATTTTCGATAGAAATAATTCTTGGCTTCTTTATATTTTCCTTTTTAGATTGTTCTATAAATGTACCAGGTAAAGTTGTTGCTTCATGAATATTTATGTCTATTCTTGGTGCCTCTACATTGTCTCCTGTATCATTTGACAATATTTCAATTGTTTGATTATCTACATCTACTCTTGATGATTCAACATCTTTTTCAATATTCCTGTTTACTGATTCTTTTGGTATCTGTATATTTTTATTTGCTTCAATTTTCTTCATATTCTTTCCCTTTGTTGATGTTGTAGCTGTCACAAATTCTAAAGCAGGATCATTCTGTATAATCTTCGTAGAAAGATTTACATCAATCTTAGAAGATTCAACTATCTTATGATCAGTTGTTTTTGCAAAAACTTTCTTACGTGTTGTTTTCTTAATTGTTTTGCCTTTCTCTTTGTTAACATTTCTTTTTCTTAGTTTCTTTTTAGAAGTTTTTTCTTTTGTATCATTTGAGTCAAACTTAAAATCATATATATCTTTATCTTCTCTGTCTGAGGATTTCTCAGGAGATTTTATGACTTTGTATACAGGCACTTTTATGTTACCTTTTACACTTTCTGGTAGCTTTTCTATTATCACTCTACTGTCCTGTTGCTTTGATGAAATGAATTTCTGCAATAATCTTGAGTCTTCGCAATAATTTTTTCTAGTTTGCCGAGGACGTAAACGTCCTCTTACTGGTGTTCGATTGTTTTTTAGAGATACATTTTTCTTTGATAGGTTCAAACTGTCATCTCTTGCATTAATATTAACCTTCTTTGAACTTTTATTCATAACAGTTTTTCTAGGTTTGAGTTTCCCTTTAGGTATAAGATTGACAGATATTTCACGAGATTTCTGACGAGTAATACGTTGAGAGGATGTAGCTGGAGCCATTATGCTTTGACTTCTATGTACCTAGAAATATATTTGACATGTATACTTATTTATAGGCATCAATAAAAAAATATCAAAAATACTGAGAAATTATAGATTATAAAGATTATTCTCAATGCAGGTTTTGTGATGTAATATATGTTTGTAAATTTACCTCGCTTATGAGGTCGCAGAATTCTTATAATTCTCGAAGTCCTCGAAGACGTACAACTACAACGTCGTCAACGTCAATACGACCAGTATCGAAAATGACCACCGTGTAATGGAGGCAAGTCTCGTAAATAACGTGAGAGTATCGAAAGTAAAGTGGGGGGGGGATAAAGCCCGCGGTAAATAAACATAACGAAGGGCACGCGAAAAACGAGCCCAGTCAAAGGGAAAGGAGTTCAAATTCTTAAGTCATGGCTTTGATGAAGCAAGCGACAAAGCTTGGGAGGTGGTTTTTTAAGGAGAGGGAAAATGTCAGAGTGAGAGATAAATTAGAGGAGCGGTTATTACAGAAAGATAGCTTTGGAAGAAGTAATGGAACAGTAAAAAATGATATAATTAATATCCTGGTTAGGGTTATCGCCACAAGAGATGAGATTGCAGGTTGCAGAAAATATATTGTATAACTTCAGAAACTGCAAGTCAACGAGTAACTAACTAATGAACTATATCACCGTAAAAAACGCAAAACAGCTTAAAATGGCGAAATGCGTTAGTTAATGACAGGATTGCCAATCTAACCCTTCCGTATATGGCAGGCATACCAATCGGCAGTTTAAATCGGTGTGCACGTTAAACATTTTCCACTTAAAAAAAATCAGAATATACAATACAAAAACATAATGGTCGCGTTCAGCAGACTCAACAGTTTTAAGGTTGATTTAAGGTTGGATTATACTGGCCGTAATCTGTTAACTTATGCTGTAATCTGTAAAAATTGACCAATTATAATCGATTATTCCCCTCTCATTCGACTGTGATTGGTCAATTTTTACAGATTACGGCATAAGTTAACAGTTTACGGCCAGTATAAATCAACCTTTATACTGGCCGTAATCTGTTAACTTATGCCGTAATCTGTAAAAATTGACCAATCACAGTCGAATGAGAGGGGAATAATCGATTATAATTGGTCAATTTTTACAGATTACAGCATAAGTATGAAGGAAGATATAAGGAGACTCCACTCGGTCTCGCCAGTCTACAAGACATGAACCCATTTTAGGTTTCGAGTTCCGTTTCCGATTCTCGACACTCGCAGCGCTCGTGAATTTAGTAGTGCTGCGCATAATGAGTGCGAGTAAGAGAAATGATCATTTCTCTTACTCGCACTCATCAGAATCGGAAGCTGAACTCGAAACCTAAAATGGGTCCACTTTTATTTTACGGAGTGGAGTCTCCTTATATCTTACTTCCTGAGCATAAGTTAACAGATTACGGCCAGTATAATCCAACCTTTACAACTGTTTTATGATCTTCGCTGAGATATGACTATTCCTTTAAGGCCACTGTCACCAACTTCGATTAACTAATCGGCCTAGTAACTTTGCAGGCTTCCAACTGAAGTTGATGTCGGAACTGAGCTCACATTAGGTCTGTTCGCGTTGCTTGCACTTTTTGCACTTACCATCTTCGCTTTCTCTCTTTTTAACGCCGAATATATATCTATCTCATTTTAAGTGCAAAATTATTTGGGGATTTCATGCAACGCGAACAGACCTATTAATACTCCTCGATCTCGGACCGATTTCTAGTATCGTGAACACAAGGCTTTAAAGGATTGTCTCGCTGATTGGTTGTCGAGCATCGTTTTTTCTTATTTGACATTTGATGAATAATAAAGGCCGCAGCATATACTTTGGCATGACGTATAAGAGAATCAACCAATCAAAATGCTTCTCTTCCGTGAAGTGGGAGGAAAAGAAAGATTATGATTTGTTGCGTCATGCATTGTCATGCAAAAGTGTGTGCTGCCGCCTTTAAGGTAAAATAGGCTGCGGTCGAGTTGCCACTACGAATACTTTGAAGCGTTTGATTGACCAATCAAAAGAAAGAGTTATACAAACTGACCAATCAAGAAACGCTTCAAAGCATTCGTAGTGACAACTCGACCGTAGCCATAATCTCGCGAGCATTGTGGGGTGTGTTCAGATTCCTTACTCAGAGTAGAAATATTTACCCGACCCCGTTCAGATAGTATCTGAGTAATTATTTTTTGACTCGGTAGACTGCGTTCAGATCGCTAAGTTAGAGTAAGGGTGCAGTCCCATGGAGCGTATCGCGCGTATCGCGGATTAGCGGATCGCCAATCACAGAATCGTTCTGTTAGATTTGCATGCGTTAACTCTAGAGTCGACTTTTCAACCCATCATTTTTTATCGGTTAAAGAGTTACTCGGCGTATTTTAGCGGCAAGTTTGAAATTGAGAATACCAAAAAGAGTTCCGAAGAACCATTATTAATAGGGTCCCCTGCCAAAATAGGATGAAGACGATTTTCTAACAGTTCGAACGTACTAGGCAACATTCTATAATGTTCACGGAATTGTTTTGTATTAAATCTTGGGACTGTCTCTTCTACATAACCTTCAATTCGTATAGCTTTTCTCAATGGGCCACGTAGCCTTAGATGGGCTTCCAATAAAAATGCCTCGACCAACTCTTCCTCTTCATCACTATTTTCCAATGTTTCACTGAATATTGATCTGAACAGTTGTTCAGTCACATTAATGGCCATAAGCACAATGATATTTTTTTCGTAATCCATCTTTTTCCTTTCTTTTTATTCCTTGCCACCATATTTTAACCCAAATGACAACCCGAACCGTTCAGAGCCACCTGTTACTCGGAGTGAATCAGCCGAGTTAGAATCGAAACTCTAGATAACTCAACCCTGGGTCGTCAGGTTGGGAATCTGAACACACCCGTGGGTGTTAAGGAACGCATCCTAGGTTGTCAGGCGAATATGATTGGTAGGATCTGTAAGTAATAACCAATTATGTTCATTTGCTTGGCGAGCAGGTTTGCCGCTTTGTCAACTTGAATGTGCCCAATCATATTGAAGAATTTTACAATTGTTGCAAAGCTGCTTTCTTGCTGAACGCAGCCATTCTTTAGAGACTGACATGTCCGTTCTTCTGTCATTTTAAATTTGAGTTAAACTGTATTGTACGGCTACGTTGATAAGAGCTCGTGCAAGTTAATGCAATTTTTTTAATGAAATGACTGGCAATCCTGTAAATGTACGTCGTGGAAGAATGGTGCTATCCGATTTAGATCAAATTAAGAAGAACGAACGTGATCGTCGACGAAGATTACGCTTGGAGCAGGTACGTGCATTCGTTGAAAAATTTTAAACTTTGCTCGAATGAAGGAATAAGAAATATTGAGTTACTGATTTCTTTTAATTAGAATCTATCTAAAAAAATCGAATTGTTATAAATTATCAATTTTCTGATTTGTGTATTTGATTGTATCCTGCGTGCTTGGCGTGCTTGGCAATGTAAACATCACTTAAATTTAAAATGACATATTGCATTACAGGTTCGACAGCAGTCAAAGGAGATATCAAATCGGCTTTTAGAACGTGCTAAGAAGATAGCTAGGGAAGAACTTAGTAAATTAGAGAAAGATGGAAAATCAGAACTCAAGCAGATGCATGATAGAAAAATTATGGACATACAACGCAAGTATCAGGAAGATTTGGAAGATATTGGTCAAGCTCATGCCTCTGCTGCTTTGCAACCGGATGCAAATGTAATAATAGAAGAAGAGGAAAGAAAGGATAGAATTATGGCGTTAAAAAGAGGCAAGAATGCAATGGAACGCATGAAGGAAACAAGACAGATAGATGATACAGAGGCAGTTCGTCAAGAAAGATTACGTAGAATACGTGAAATAGAAAATGTAAGAGCTACAATGATAGCCAAACTTCCAAAACCACCTGAGGAAAATGACAGGATGGAAGAAAACCCTTCTTATAGTATAAATAAGGAAGATTTATATGAAGTGTTAACGCCAAAAAGAACGAGTAAAAAAGTTCTAAAGAAAAAATCACCTAGGAAAGTAAAGAAACCTAATCTAAAGGAACATCAAAAAATATTATCACCCAAATCAGGCCCTTCGGGGTTACAAAAGAAATCTGTTGTACAGTCCCCTGAGTTATCCTTAAGAAAGAAAGTAGACAAACATATATCGGATTACATCGAGAATATTAATGATGATGCAAGTGATGATCAAGTGCCACGGAAAACAGTGCCAACTATGAGCATTATTTCAACTAAATCTAACAAAATAAAATACAATCCAGAAGATTATACACAAAATACATCAGATAACATAAGTATTAGCAGTTCTAATTCAATCAGCGATGATTCATCATATTTTTCTGATTCTATAGAACAAATTACATGTAATACGACTCCGAAAACTCCAGCGTTAACGGAGAACAAAGTACGATCACAATATGATCGCACTATGTGTCAATGTATGAGATACATTAATGATAGGCCTCTTCCTATGGTTGAAAGAATTGACATCAGAAATGAGCCAAGTGCAATGGAAGTGGCACAAGCAGTAAAAAACGCAGAGGATATAGAAACGCATATATCCAAAAGTCGTAAATTAAGTGCTGAACGTCGTGCCGAACGTCGTGGCAAAGATGCGATTTTGCGAGAGAAAGTACGGAGAGATTATCAGGTGCTCCTAAAGAATATAGATCATCTTGCACAGGAAGAACGTAAATTAAAAGCTAGTCAAATTCAACCTGCAGAAGAAGATACATGCATGCGATTACATCAGAGAAATAAATGTCAAGAAGAACATAAAAAGAAATTAAACCGTGCAGTTAAGAAGATTTGCAGTACAGACAATGTACCAACTCGGCATACTCATCTAACAGAAAGAATAATTACTTTACCAATACAAAAAAAGGATGATCTGCACTATGATGTACCTCATTGCACATGGGAAGATCCTCATCTTGTCCAACAAGTAGATATTTGTTCTACACAACAGGATAAAGATAGCGAAATGTCACGCGAAGAACAAGTATTGGATATGCTGAAAAAAGTTGAAAGACAAAAAAGATTGTTGTTACAAGAATTTGGCGCCAGTTTACCAGATAATATATTTAATGCTAGCATGAAGCCGCTTTTTGAAGAGAAAACGCCATTAAAAACATCAGACGCTAGTACTGCCAAGCCTTTATCATCTGAAATTAAAGTTTTAAATATGTCAAGTAGTGATGAATGTATTAAAAAAGATCATAAGGTAAAGAAACCTGATAAACCACCTGCGAAAAAGATTGAGATTGCTGTTCAGACAGAAACAACGAGTCCAGCAGAAAAAACAAGTCCACTAGACAAAATGAGTCCAGCAGAGAATAAGAGTGTACAAGTGGAATTACCTCAAGAAGATGTACAAATGCCACACTCTAGCAAAGAAATTGAACGAATACCGTATCCAATTGAACCAAAAATTACTATCATTACACCAGAGACAGACAATAGTAGCAGTGATTCAACAAGCTCTGAGATTAATGGTATGATCATCGAAATTGATAAAAAGGAAATAATTGTAACACCTAAAAAGAAGAAAAATAGCATAAGAGCATCGAAGCGACCATCACCTCGAATTTATCAAAAAATTCGCCCAGCATCGGTTAGTTCTAAAGCGACGTCACCTATAAAGAGGTTCTCGAG